TGTGTGTGTGTGTGTGTGTATGTGAATTCAAATTTTATATGTGAACATCCCAAATAAATAAAATTGTAAAGTTGGATGTGGTGGCACATGCCTGTAATCCCAGCACTCGGGAGGCTGAGGCAGGAGGATCTCTGTGAGTTCGAGACCAGCCTGGGCTATATAGTGAGTTCCAGGTCAGTCTCAACTACATAGTGAGACCCTGTCTCAAAAAATGAAAAATAAAATAAAGTTGTAAAGTCCACCTCCTTCCTCTAGTACATTACAATGTAACTTTCCAAATGTCTCCCCAAAACTCAAGCCTACCCCTCTTCCTCATTTCCCAAAGCATAAATTGTGCCTTTGTTAAATTCCTGTCTCACTGTGGCTCTACTTCGTAGCTTTCTGTGTGGGTCTCTGCAATCACCAACATCCTGAGACGCCTGCCTCTCCAATTTCTCCTCTGTCAAACTTCTGCTAATTCACAGACTCAACTTGTGTTTGAACTCAGTGTGTTACTACAGCACACTGGCTGTCCTCTGTGTGGTCAAAGTAAGTTGTCATCTGCATCATTTAAAAAACAGCTCCCTACAACGTTGTCAGAACTGGAATGCTGCTGATGATTTCCAAGCACCTCAGTGTCGGTGCATTGGTTTTTCAGCAGACCGCTTCACAACACCAACCCATCTAGCGATGTCCGATAGGCTCTGTTTGTCTCCAGGCAATCGTAGATGTCTGTGCCCTGGGAAGTACTGCTGTTTCCTTCCATGGAAGACCCTGGACAACCATGTAGTATGCGGTTTAGGTGGACGGCTCTAGAGACTTTGACAGTCCCTTAGAAGCTTGGCCCTGCTGTGAACCGAGAGACACCTTCTGGGCCTGAAACTGAGAGGAGCCCCCCCCCGAGATAGATGCGTATCGACTTTGCCAAGGGAGCAGATCGGCAGCATGTCGTACATGCCTACAGCAGAGCAGAAACAATGTTTTCTTTATCAGACACACCTGTCGCCAGCCATTGGTTGTCTAGAGTTGGTAAGTGGCAAAACAAATCCTCTCAAATATAGTGAAGTTGGACACAAATGCAAGGACCCACAAATGAAATCAGAACTAGCTGCAACCAAGTTCCCAAAGGGCCTAACAGCTGAGACATGCATTGAGTCCTAACGACACTTTTCCCTTAATGTCATCACGTTTCTTCAGGAAACAGCTCAAGAACCGGACACCACACTTTGCAAGAAGCTAGAAAATGACTTAGGGATCCCCCCGCCTCAGAACTGGAGAGTGAACCCAGAACCTTCACACTGAGAGCTACTTCCCCAGCCCTTTTCATTTTTAATTTATCTTTATTTTTTTATTCTGAGACAGGGTCTCATGAAGGTGTGCAGCCCAGACTGGGCTTGAGTTTGTGACTGTCCTGCCTCAGTCCCCAGAGTGCTACACTACCAGCCTGGACCACCAAGCCCAGCTTCATTTAGGTTCTTGTGGTAGAACTGACAATTACTTTCCAAACAGTCTGAAGCCACTTGGAATGCAGTTAGTGTCTGTTGCTGTATGTGATACAATCCCGGCCCATCCCTCAACACACAGGCTCATGTCCACGGATATGGATCTTTTCTTGATAATTGTCAGAATTTAGTTTTTTAAAAATCAAGTTCAGCCTGAACTAGAAAGTGAGAAACTGGCTAAAAAAAAAAAAGTATAATAACTACTAATATAGCATTTATGTTGTATTAGGAATGGGGGGTGCTGTAGAGAGATAAAGTCTTACTGTGTAGTACAGGTTGGCCTCAAACTCACAGCAATCCTCTGGCCTCAGCCTCCTCAGTGCTGGGATCATAGGTGTGTGCCACCATGCTTGGGCTGCATTAAGAATTTTAAGTAATCTAGAAATGACCTAAAATGTATGGGAGGAAGTAGGCTGAGGCAGGAGAATCACTGAGAGTTTAAGGCCAGCCTGGGATACGTAGTGAGTTCAAGGCCAGACAGGACTACATAGTGAGATCCCTGTCTCAAAAAAGAAGACAAAACAAATGAACAACAACAACAAAAATATATATGTATATGAGGGGCTAGCGGTGTAGCCTAGAGGTAGAGCACTTACCTAGCATGCCCCAGGTCCTAGGTTTTTATCCTCAACACTGTAAAGATAAGTAAATCTAATTAAAGCACACAGGATACATAGATAGGTTATAGGCATATATGTCACTGTCTACATAAAGAATAGAGCATCTACGTATTTTGATATCTGCTGGTGATCCCTGAAATAAAGTCCTCTGGATACCAGGGATACATTGTGTTACTTTTATAATGAAAAATAGAAAAGACAGTAAACATTTTCAAGGACAAAGTCTGTATGATCTTGTGCGGCTCAGGTACCATTCTGCCTAGGCTTGAAAATTTAATTAGTGGCCCCAGGCAAGCAGTGTTTAATCTTTTTGCCTCAGTTTCCTGATCTGTAATAACAAACCCCTCTTCCAGAGTGACTGTGAAGATGAAAGGAGTTAAAAAAAAAAAAACTGTAAAACGTTTGCAACAGGGTACGGCTTGAGGAGACAGAAACAAAAGCTGAAGATGATTGCAAGATGGAGACTGGAGTAGATAGGATAATTACCCCCCAATGTCTACCCCTCATCCCCAGAACCTAGGAAGATGTTACCTCACATGGTAAAAGGGCCTGGATAAAAAGTTCTGATGAAGGGATCACCCTAGGCCATCTGGTGGCCCAGAGCCATTGTGAGTCTTTGCACAGGAGCAGGGAAGGAGAGCCCGTGAGACAGAAGTGACAAGGCAAGCTGAGGGAGAGAGCTCCAGGAAGGGGCCCCACCAAGGAATGCAGGCAGCCTCCCCAAAGTTGAAAAGGCAAGGAAACAGATTCCTTCCTGGAGCATCCCAGAGGAGCCGGACTTGCTGACATCCTGACTTTAGCCCAGCAGGATGGGTTTCAGGCTTCTGACCTCCAGAAGGGCAGGATAATACATTTGTGTTGTAAGCCACTCCATCTGTGGTCCTCTGTTAAAGCAGCAATAGGAAACTGGCACCGACAGCTGGGTCTGGCGCTCCTTCAAGTATCACGGAAGATCTAGAATCAAAGCGAAAGACTTCCGGGCACATCTGTCAAACAAAGCGGAAGCAGAAGACCGTCTGCCTGGGTTAGTTTTATTAGGATGGCAGAGGCTGTCACAGCTTAGGGAGCTCCAGGTTTACAAGCACAGTCTCAGCCTGCTGGTTCTTGATTGCATTCCAAGAAGCCAAATCCTGCCTGCTGAAAGTATCCCTATAGATGTAAGCCCCCTCGTTCTTGGGGACTGTCCTTTTGGTAGTTAGTAAGAAATATCTTTTCCCCATTTGTAGCATAACCAATAGAACATTGATTAACCTGACTTTCCAGTAATGTGTCTATGGGTTCATAAGTACATTTCTTTTCTTTCTCTCTCTTAATAAAAATGTAGCCTCGACGATAGCCTGAAAATAGCACTCAGGCTTACAACATTACAGCTTTAATGAGCTAAGAATTCTATTTTTTCCCCTATTACACAGGACAATAATTCCTAACAGCTTAAATTTTCAAAGCACTTCACAAGCATGTAATTAATCCTCTCCAGTGCCAGAGAGAAGGAAGCCGGTATTCATAGTATCTCTTCCTAACATCCTTTAATTTGGCAGGACTTCCTCTGGCTTTGAAAAACAGTGTCTGTCCCACGAAGGTTATTTGGGCCACGTTGCTTAATCGGTCCTCCTTACCTAATGAAACCTGGTAACCGGAGCAGTTTAAATTGCCATCTCGTCAGCCAGCCGAGACAGGCAGGGGGAGCCGCTCTGAGCCTGGAAGAGAAATGGCAGCACTTCCCCAGGGCAATGACAAAGCCCATCTGTCCCAAGCCTGCGAGATGGGCTCGTGATGGGGCCCACTGCCAAGCGCATCAGCGCCTGATTCGGATTCGCGCCCTGAAACTGGGGCACGATGAGTATCAGGAGGCCGTTCCCAGAGCGCTGTTCTCCCGAGGCCTGCATCAGCGGCAGAGTCCTGGTGTCCTGAGAGTGGGAAGCTCAGGGAAGCCCTGCTTTCTTTCCTCTCCGTTCCGCCTGCTTCCTGTGGAGTCTGCAGATGCAGACAGACCAGGTAGCTACCCTGAGGAGCAGGCCGGTTCTCCTGCAGCCGTGCCTCTCTCCTTCCAGACCTGCTCGCGTCCTGCAGCGTCCCCCGAGCAATCTCTCCTTGCCCCACGTGTTGCTACACAATGGCCAGAATCACGCCCAGTCCCATTTCCAGTTCCAAGACGCCACTCTGAGCGCTTGCCGTGTGCCTTGGAGTCCCGAGTGAGACAAGGGCCCAGATCGCAAGAAGCTTTGCGTTAAGCAGGGCACGTGGGCAAATATTCCTATACAGAGACAGCAGTAGAGACCCCATCACGCTGCCCCTGAGAGAGCTGGGCACACGAGGAAGGGTGCGGAAGGAAGCAAATCCTTGGAGGGTTTTTGATTTGTTTTTTCTCCTCCTGGTGCTGAGGATCAAACCCAGCAAAGCAAGGGAAGCTCTTTACCACAGAGCGCCATCTCCACCCCACGGAGGGTTTCTACCAAGGTGGCAGCTAATGTGACCCTGTTCCAAGGTGCCACTTTTTTTTTCAATTTTCAATTTTTTAAAAAAATTTTTGATTTTGAGACAGGGTTTCACAAAGTCACTAAATTGCCAAGGCTAGGCTGGAACCTGCAATCCTCCTGCCTCACCCCGCCAGAGTGCTGCGATTACAGATACGCACCACCACACCAAGCTTTAAAAGGTGTTTTTAGCCAGGCATGGTGGCACACACCTCTAATCCCAGCACTCTGGAGGCCGAGGAAGGACCATCACTAGAAGTCTGAGGCCAGCCTGGACCACATAGTAAGGTCAAGGCCAGCCCACATTGCACAGCGAGACCCTGTGTCGAAACAAACAAACAAAATAAAAACAAACCATGTTCTTCCATGAGCATGATGGGGTAGTCCAAGCCAAGGGACTGGGAGCATGCAGACTGAGAGAAAACAGAGGCCCAGTTTGCCCACGTCCCACAGGATGCACAGGTAGAGTTTTGTGGAAGAGAAACATTTGTTGCTATGTTGCCCTAATTTGGGTCACTCTTGCACCACCAGCAGAATAGTCCCCAGGCCCATGATTCATCTGTACTCTTCTTTACTTCTTTTTTCTTCTTTTCTGTATGAGGATTGAGCCCAGGGCCTTTACACTGAGCTACATCCCCAGCCTATGTACGTATGTACTTCTCAGACAAGCTCTGGCTAAATCACTAGATTACCCAGGGTGAATTTGAATTTGGGATCCTTCCCCTCACCTTCCCAAAGGGATTACAAGCATGCGCCACCACTCCCAGCTAATTTCATGTTGTTCTTAAATCAGTGCAGTGTTTTACATTCAAATTAAAAGAATACTCTAGAGCCGGGCCTGGTGGCACAGGCCTATAATCCCAGCACTCGGGAGGCTGAGGCAGGGGGGTCACTGTGAGTTCGAGACCAGCCTGGGCTACATAGTGAGTTCCAGGTCAGTCTCAACTACATAGTGAGACCCTGTCTCAAAAAATAAATAAATAAATAAGCAAACAAACAAATAAAAGAATACTCTATAGCAGAGATCAGCAAATCTAGCTGCCATCTTTCTTTTCTTTGGCACCAGGGATCGGACTCAGGTCCTTGAGTTTACAAGGCAGGCAGCAGCATCACTGAGCTAAATCCCCAGCCCCTTGCCATCTATTTTTTTCTTTCTTTTTCTTTTTCTTTTTTTTGTTTTGTTTTGTTTCGGGGGTTTTGTTGTTGTTGTTGTTGTTGTTGTTGTTTGAGGCAGGGTCTCCCTTTGTAGTTCAGGCTGGCCCCGAATTCACTATGTAGCCCAGGCTGGCCTCAAATTTGAGACAATCCTCCTGCCTCGGCCTCCCCAAGTACTGGGATGTCAGGCATGCACCACCACACCAGGGCTGCCATCATTTCTGTACAGCCCGTCAGCCAGGAAGAGCAACTTTTACATTTGTAAATGGTAAAGAAAAAAAATCATAAGAAAAGTGTTTCACAACACATGAAAATTACATAAATTAAAATTTTAGTGTCTATTAGTAGTTTTATCAGGATATAATCGTACTCATCATTATCTAAAGCTGCTTTTGCTACAACAGCAGAGTTGAATCCTTGTGCCACAGACCAGACAGCTTGCCTCTGCTAAAGCATTTCCTCACTGATCCTTTATAGAAACAGTTTATAGAAACAGTTTACAGAGCCAGGTGTGGTGCTGAATCCCTAAAATCCTAGAAATGTGTGAAGCTGAGGCAGGAGGGTCACAAGTTTGAATCCAGTTTGGGTAATTTAATGATTTAAGCAAAATAAAACATCTCAAAATAAAATTTTTTTTAAAAGGTTGGGGGATGTAGCTCGGGGCAAAGACCTTTTGGGTTTGATTTCCAATGCGGGGTGGTGGTGGGATCTGTGTATTTCTGATTTCAGAGAAAAGAGAAGAGGCAAGGTTGAAAGAAGATGTTGTGAACAAAGATCCAAAAGCAGGAGATGGTGGCTAAAGGGAGGGACCTTAGCCTTTGCAAGCCTGGTCTTGATCAACGAGCTAGCTCAAAAAATGTGTCCACAAATTCTTTAGAACTCCTCCCTTCAAAAAGAAGAGTTCATTTCTGCAGTGTGATTTGGACTTAGTGACTCATTTCTAACAAAATAAGGCTAAAGCAATGGTGTGTCATTTGGGGGATGGGTCCAAAAAGTGGGCCACAAAACGTGGCTTTCTCCTCCTTCTCTAGTTTTGGGCACCCCGGATACCCCATCATCTGAAGTCACCCTTGGAGAAGCCATCAAGGCCTGTTACCCCCAGTCAGCAAGAACGGAGGTCAACTGTCCACAGCCTCATGCGTGACCCCACTTGGGAAGAGTCTTCCTGCACCCCTGGACCCTTGGACGACCACAGCCCTGGCCAGCAGCCTAGCTGCCAGCTGAGCCACATTCCTGACCCGCAGAAACTAACTCAGCAAGGCTGGGGGTGTATCTCAGTGCCTGTGGGCCTAGCATGCCCCGTGTGCCTAGCATGTGTGTTCTAGCCCCGCTCCACATCAAACAACAGCAAAGCCAAACTGGTATCTTGGAGATAAGCAGATAAGCCTTGGAATTTTTGATATGCATCAACACATAACTAAGAAAGCCAGAAATCTCTAGCATTTCCTTTCACTAGAATATCCTTGAAACTTAAAACCCAGAGAGATCTCAGGGAGCCTTTAAATTTGCCCTTTTTTTCCATCAAATACCATCTCACTCATCTGGACAAAACAGCTTGAATAAGATAGACCTGATCTCTGGAGTTCGGGACTTATGGGGAAAGACAGCCATAGTACAGCAAGAATATATGAGAGATGATTAAGTGGGTGGGACACTAGGGGCAGGGGGCACAAGTACAGCAAGGAAGGAGTTACAGTATCTGTGTCTAAAACAAAAAATTTTTTTTTGAGACAGAGTCTTTGCCCTGTAGTCTCGACTGGCCTTGAACTTCCTGGGATCCTCCTGCCTCAGCCTCCCTAGTGCTGGGATTACAGGCATGAGCCACCACACCTGGCCACATTTGTCATTTTTTAAAAAAATTTTGGCAATGTTTGGATTGAACCCAGGGTCTCATGCATGCTAGGCTTTAATACTCAGCTACATTCCTAACCCAAGAGTCTAAATTTAAAAAAAATAAAACAGACACACACACACAAAACCTCAATTTTTAGATAATTCATTGATCCTTGCTGGTTGAATTTGTCAACCAAAACAATTTTCTAAACACGGAAAAAATACTGGGTTCCTCTACACGGCTAAAGTGTTTCCTTTTGCAGTTACTGTGTGGTTTTGTCTTGTTCACCTTCCCCTGTTACAATCAAATTTAATAGAAAAACACGTGAAATGTACTTCACCTACCACGAGATGCTTAATTTTTCGTCCAAGAAAATGAAATATTCAAACAGTGAAGGAGAGAGCCCTAGAAACTAAACTTGAATGCTCCCTCCTGCGGGAGGGTCTAACAGAGTTCTAGAAGCCCTTTGCCAGCTTGATAAATATTTCAAGACCTGAGAGCCACAACAGAGTATGTCCAGGGCCTAGACATCAGACAAAAGCTCAGGGTGAGTAGGAACTTTTTGATCAAGTCCTTAACAACTTTCAAATAAATTTTTGCATGATTTCTGTAAATCTGGGTTAATTACAGTTTTGGCTTTGGGGTTATTCCCCCACTGGAAAGAGTATAAGATCTGAGTGGTTATTTTTTATTTATTTATTTATTGTATTTTCCTGGATATCAAGGAACAATGCACCAGGCACCTTTCAGGACAGAGGGCAAGCAAAGATTTCCTAACATCAAGGCCCTAAAGTCCATAGAAGGATGCACTTTTGTGAAATCCAGATACTGAAAGGAAAAAGCAAATAAACACTGTCTCCTCCTGCTCCCTGGCTGGGGCCCAGCACAAAAGCAGTCATCAAACTACTTGATGCAGGGCCTGCTGGGAATCTCACACAACTCACAGTAGGTTTGGGCTTCTGACTGCACACAGAAGAGGATCTCAGGGAGCCTCTGTTCCAGCTCCCCTGAGGCAGGTCACAGGGCCCATGGGATGTGGGCCAGGGATTGCCTGGGAGTTGGAAGAAAAAGCTCAGTCCAGTCAAGTATCCTCTTTTTGAGTTTTCCCACTTGCAAACCAAAGCTTTTGCCTCAGAAACTCCTCCTGATCTGTTCTGTGGACACAGACCAATCTATCATGAGTTGGGACCTCTGGGACACACGGGCCAGCCACTCAATATTATCTCTGGTAACCTCACTTCCTAAGAGGTACATTGTATGAGGAACTGAGGATCAGGACCTCTGTGAGTCACAGAGACAGACTTCACAGGAGGTCTGTCTGCATCCAAGTCTGTCTCCCTATTGCCTCCTCTTTCTTTCCTATTTTCTGTGACAAAACCCCGACCCTGACAAACCTGCTAAAAACGCTAGCTGAAGCCACAGTGCCCTCCCCTGAGGGCTTCAGCATCTCTGTGTTGTATTTCCATCTCTCAGTCCTCCGCCTTGTTCCTGGGGTCAAGCCGTCTCTTGACAGTGTGACTTGAATCTTTCCTTTGGGCCAGGCGCTGTGCTGAGCTCTTCTTCCCTGGCCCCTGGGACCTCATCACAAGCCCATGAAATGCACCCTGTTGTCATCCCGGCTCACAGACGGAGAGAGAGGTTACCTACAAGGGGAGCAGCTGCACAGGTTGAGATGGGAACCACACTGTCGCACACATTCGAGATCAGCTGCCCTGTAATTAAGCAAAGTGCCATTCCCTAGGGCCCAGCACCCTCTGTAACACAGGCAGGGTAAGCTACAAAGAGTCCCCTGCTCCAGAAGTTGAGAATTTGAAGTCAGATTAACTCTTTCTATTCCACAGTTGATTTCTGAAAGCCCATTAGGTCAAGGTAGGCAGCACCATCTGCTTTCAGACATAGGTAGTCTCAGCTTTCTTTCTTTCCATGAGTACTAACTCAAAAAACTAAGTTTCTAGCCAGACATGGCGACACACATATAAACCCAGGACTCAGGAGTCTGAGGCAAGAGGATTGTCCCGGGCTACGTAGTAAGTTCAAGCCCAGCCTGGAATACATAATGAGACTTTGCCTCAAAAAAGAAAAAAAGCAAACTAAGTTTTGTTTTGTTTGGTTTGGTTTGGTTTGGTACCAGTGATTGAACTTGGGTCCTTACACTTGTGAGGCAGGTGGCAGAACCACTGAGCTAAATCCCCAGCCCACAAACTAAATTTTTAACCAACTTCGGGTGACCGTTGCATTACTTGCATGAATGGACATGAGGACAAGGCGTCCCTTTGAGAAGGGCGTTTCCATTTTTATCTTGTTCTCCAGCTTTAAGCCCTCCAGTGGCTTCTCAGCCCTCCAGGACAGTCAGCATTTCTTCCCTGGGCAATCTGGCCTTGCTTGCCTCTATGTGGCAGAATAATTTTGCCCTTGTTTTATCTGTTACCTCTTCTCTTTTGGTTTGTTTATTAATTTCTTTTCTGACTCAACTAAAGCATTTAACAAATATTTATTTGAACTTGTTGCCATTTGTTGGTTCTGATCCTTGTCGATTAACCCAAAGTACCTATAAAAGTGGAATGCTGCTTTGGGGAGACACCTGTCCAAGGGGCTTTCAGAAGAGAGGTGCTGTCTGCCTTTGCTCTGGATTCTGTTTTCAAAAATGTCTGCACAGTGAGCAGCCTTTTACGATGGAGAGAGAGAGAGCCCTCCAGAGCAGAGGCACGTTTGCACCCAGAGCCCCTGCTGCCCCAGAGCAGTGTCTGACTACAGCAGAGGGAAAGGTCACTTACTGCCTAGCATAAAACACTTAGGTTCCCAGATCTCCAGTTTCCTCTTCTGTCACATAACCCACTTCAAGTTCCCAGAACCTCCCTAGGCCCTTGTCACAGCTCACTTTGGGAACTGGGGTTTGGGGATATACTGACATCTACTCCCGAGTAGTAAAAGCCTCTGTCTCTTATCCAGGGGTCCTATGTCTTCTGCTAGTAGCCACGAAACTTGCAAAAAATCCGTTAGCTCGTAAGTAAGGTTAGGTGCCAAGCCCTTCCACAGCCAGGTTTGCTTGGTCAGTGACAGCAGAGTTAAGGTGACCTCTGACTGTGCTATTTCTGGGGTAAAAAGTTGCTGGGGAATATGTTTAGAAGCTGTCACGACATGGTACAGTGGCACCAATGAAAGGCTCATTAGCTATGCAACATGATAAGCTTTGCAGACAAAGATCTTGTGGGTCTTACAGCACCCTCAGGAAAAAAGAAAAGGCAAGGTGTACTGGGAGCCTGGCACTTTCCCTGTGCCTCCTGCTCTCCATAGCACTGGGTGGCACCTCAGGGTTCCTTTCCACTACCAGGCAGAGAGGCCTAGGGTGACAGGGATTTGCGTTCCCTTGTGACCTTTTCATAATATAGCATCATGACTTTCTTTTTGTTTTGTTTTGGTTTTTTGAGACAGGGTGTCACTACGTAGTTGAGACTGACCTGGAACTCACTATGTAGCCCAGGCTGGTCTCGAATTCACAGCAATCCTCCTGCCTCAGCCTCCCGAGTGCTGGGATTACAGGTGTGCACCACCACACCTGGCAGCGTCATGATTTTCTAATAAAAAGATTTTAAAATACTAAAAATGTAATTCATTATAGGCCAACAATGAGTCCCAGTATCAAATGAAAATTCAGAGCCTGGTATACATTTCAGAAAGTAGTCCTTTCTCTACTTCCCCTGTTTTATAGAGATTAGCTTCTCTTGTTTATTTGGGGGTGAACAATTGAAAGGAGGGAAAAAGAGCCAAGAGAAGTTCTTCAAAATGATACTCAAGGCTGGGGGTGTAGTTCAGTGGTAAGAGTACATATGTATAGCATGTTCAAGGCACCAGTTTCAAATCCCAGCACCACAATCACCAAAAAAGAAAAAAAAATTAATTCACTTATTGAAATTGTACACACACACATTTCCTACCTGGGCTAAATTCAGTGGAGATAGAAACATGCATGAGCTCTTGTCCCTGTTCTTAAGGAGAGGTGTGCCTGGTGCACAAGTAACATAAATAAAAGCAGAGGTGAGCAGTAGACGGGCAGAGGTTCCAAGCGGGGCACATGGCAGGGAAGAGGCAGTCTCGGACTAGGCCTCAGGGGTGGGGCGGTGAGGAGCAGAGAGCCTTGTGGAGCGCGTGTCAGAGGGCGCCCAGAAGTGGGCACACAGGTCCGAGTCAGACTGGAACCGGACACCTGAGGAATCTGGACTCTGACATGACCGTATGTGTCTGTGGGGTGTGGGATCGAAGTGCCAGCCAGGCAGGAAGTGGGGACAAGGGTGACCACGGGGGCTGGAGGCGTGTCCCAGGGCGGGGAGGGGCGGAGGAGGAAGGGAAGAGGGCGGAGGGGCAGGAGGGTGGCTGGGAAAGGACGCCACCTGGGAAGACCCGCTCCCCTGTCCTGGTCACAGGAGGGAGGCAGCGGAGACTCGCAGGTTCACAGGGCAGGGTGAGGGGCGGTCTTGACTGTCCTCTTATCTCACAATACCAGGTCCGCAAGGCCCCAGCTGCAGTCCCTGTATCAGTGAATTCTGAAGTCACACTTCCTTCTCCTTTACGCAGGACGTTCAAATGACACAAATCGGAGGGCTGTGGAAATTCAAAAAGTAGCATGGGACAATTTTCAGAATCCTTATTTAATAACTAACTTTTCTAGATTTGAATTTGAAGTCCTTTATCATTGGGCAACTATTAAAATCCTGCACGGGGGGGAAAAATAAGAGCCCTCCCTCCCTTCCTTTTTTAACTTCTCCTTTCAATAAAAACAGACAGACCTAGTTGTTGGGCGGGGCTTTGAGAACCTTGGCAAGAGGCACCTTCGCTATAGCCCTGCTTAGTCCAAGTCGACCTCATCTGAGTCTCCCGAGGTGGACTCACCCTGACTCCACCTGCTTGGGCTGCCTGCAGAAAGTGCTTATCAGACCGGCCAGTCAGCCTACCGCTCCACGAACCACTCGCCCAACGCTCAGCAGCCGGTCGGAAGTAGGCCAAGGGTCCCGCGCTTGCTTGAGCAATCCTCAGAACGACTGCAGAGCAGCCTCGCCAGCCACCTCTCACCTTCCTGGTCCTTTGAACCCTGGCGGTCACCATTCAGGGAGTCATAAGAGCTCAAGGAGGGGGACACCCAGGAATCGGCTCTGTCCCGGGGTTCAGAGGGCAAGTCAGGCCCTGCCCTTCTCTGGCACAAGGGACAATCTGCTGATATCCCTGCCTCGCCCCCAGCACTCGTGACAGATGTGATCTTCACACGTGACGCCTCGGCAACGGGCAGCAGCCTCCTAGATGGAAATACCTTGAGGTCGCTGGGGCAGGGATTCAATTGCACAATCCTTGCCTCGGCCAAGTTTTCCACTAAAAGCCAATTGTTACTTAGCAACCAAAGTAATTTGGCCCAGCTCAGAAAAATCTCCTATCCCCTAATAGTACACTAAGGCAGCCCTGCTCCTTGCTGCTGCTCCTCAGGGCCCAGTGAAAGGGACGATGCACCTATCCGTGGGCAAGAGCTCCTGTGATAGTTGGATTATGGAACAAACACTTCAAAAGCACATTTCCAGCTAACAGAATAAGCTGATCAGAGAAGGCAGGCAGTGGCTGAGAGGCCCTGGGAACTAATTAACTGGCATTACTAGTTTCCTTTCCCTACATACTTCTAATCACCAAGGCCCTTTACCAGCATGAGTAGGTGACTCTGGAGCACACCTTTCCCCTGCCCTTCTGGAACCTCAAGAGAGAGGTCGTAGCCATGTCCTCGGGGAGCGGCGGTCAGGCTGGGCGGTGCTCCTAAAGTACATTTCAGCACTTCACCAAGCACCCCCTGCTCCTGGCACTGGAGATCGAGCCCAGGGAATGCTGAGCTACATCCCCTACCCCTTTTATTTTCTTATCTGGAACACTTATCACTAAATTGCTCAGACTGGCCTTGAACTTGCAATTCTCCCGCCTCAGCCTAGTTGGGATGACAGGCATGTGCTACCATGCTTGGTTCCTGGGCCCCTTTAACCATTATCAAATGATATCCCTCAATTTGGTGACTTCTGAACTTCACTGATTTTGTTTTTAAAGACCCAACCAAGCGATTCATTAGGTTTAGACAGAAGTGATCACTGAGTAGGGGAGGCTTAGGCAGGGAAATGAAATCAGTGTTTCTGCTTGGAACTGTCATGAGGGCCAGATGGGTGGCATTTGGGGAGAAACTGAGGAGACGGAAAAGCAGGTAATCTCGGTGAAGCAATGAAGCTCTGCATCTCTCCGTCTCTCCGTCTCTCCGTCTCTCCGTCTCTCCATCTCTCCATCTCTACAGGGTGCCGGCCCTGAGTGAAAACAGAAGCATGCGGTGAAGGAGCCAATTCAAATCCACTGGTGTGTGGGGAGGGAGCCTGGAGGAAACGGGAGGGGCTGAGCTTGGGGATGCTGTTGGGGACAATGCTGCAGGTCACATTAGGGTTCTGTTATAGGTACTAGGGGGCCAACAAAGAGTTCAAGCAAATTTGCGTCTGTTAAGAGCATTCTGGGTGCCAGGTTCCATAGTGGGTGGAGACCGCGAGGGTGGGCTCAGGAGATAGTGACCCTGGCATGGGATGGTGTGGGCTTGGGTGGGTAGCTGGGTGCAGAGATGATGGTGAGCAGGAAGTGAGACTCTGGAGGTAAAATCATAGGGTCAGCCATTCATTGGGCAGAGGAGCTAAGAGAAAATGAAAAACCAGAGCCCTAAGTCCTGCTTTATATCCCATTCCCTCAAACCCAAATGCTAAGCCTGTCTTGGCCAGGCAGCTGACCTGCTGAAATGAGCTCAGATGAAATGGCAGCAGGAAGCAGGACGTCAGCCAGGCCAATAAGCAGCGCTGACCTCTTTGTGTCCTTTCTGAAGAACTCAATTATATTATCTCAATTATATTTAAATAGATGCTATATCTCTAGAGGGAAAAAAATCCCAACATTTTCATAGGATGTGCAGAAAAAAAAATCTTCCTGTCACCTCTTTCCTGCATCTCAAGGACGGCCGCTGTGAGCCACGTCTGTTTCTTCAGCCACGCCTGTCTGCTCTGTGCAGCAGTGCCGTACACACAGGGGTCATGGGCAGTGGAAGAAGGGCCGTTGCTGTATCTTGTGTGTAGCAGGAACCTCACGGGTGCCCAGCTGTCCCGGCTCTGATCTCAGCACTGCTGACTCCAAGCCTGGGCCAGAAGGCTCCTGGGGCTGTCTGGGCCATGGGTGAAAACTGGTGATTTAGATCGATGCTAAAAGCCTGCACAAATTCTTGGGCTGACTCACCGGAGTGGAAGAGAGCGGGTGTCCTTGAAGGACACAACACAAGGACAGGGATCCTGGCTCCATCCCTCTGTCGTCCTCCTCCTCCAAACTTGCTGGTTTTACACAGCGGCAGGAAACCCCACATGACAAGCTGTTTCCAGGCTCCCCAAAGTCTAGGGTCTGGAGGGGAGACAGAGTGGAGACAGCTATGTCAATCAAAGGTGATAGGGCCTGGTGGGTAGGGAAGCGCAGGGTGCTGAGCTGCAAACAGACCAGAGAACCCAGGAAGGCTTCCTGGAGAAGGGGGCGTGTTAGCGAGGTCTCAGAGACAGAGCTAGTCAGGCAAAACAGAGTGCATCAGGCAAAGAGAACGACAAAGCAAAGACTCCATGTCCCCTCCTCAGGCCCGGTCCTGTGCAGCTGGGCTGCAGGCAGTCCCTGCATGGGTGCCCTGGCATCTCCAATATCATCCCCCAAATGCAGGGGTTTTAACTCAACTCTAGAAAATGTGCCACTTGGCATTTCTTGAGAGAGGAGAGGTTCAAATCAAACAAATGATGCTGGAGGGTAGCATCTTTTAAAGCTAGAAGCAGCATGTCAGGTGTGGTGGCACACGTTAACCAGCCTAGACTACATAGAGAGCTCAAGGCAAGCCCGAGTCTGGGTCTACAGCAAGACCCTCTCTTATAAAACAAAACAAGCAAAAAGCCAGAAGCAATAGATCTGGAATTTTGCCAGCAGTGGTACTGCCATCTTAGGAATCGTATTGATCTTGCAATGTTCTAGTGTTTCCTGAGCTAATGTTCAATATGCAGGCGATATTTAATTCAGCTCAGTGACACAGGTATTTATTGAAGACATTTTCTGTGAGACCCTGGACTATGTCCTAAGGCTACAAGGATGAGTAAGATTCAGTCTTTAAAGCACAGGATCTGAGGGGGAAAAAGACAAATCATTGCTGCATTTAATAACTTCTGCAGTAGAAGACTGAAGAGAGTCACAACAGAGCTGTAGCAGGGCTGCTGGAGAACATCCACTAGGTTGGGCCTGACCGACAGAGACCAGGGTTTGATAACTTTTCTTATGAAGTACCAGACAGTAAGTACTGTGTGCTTTGAGGGCTGTGTATGCCCTCTGTGTTGCAAATACTCAACCTTGCTCTTGTAGCACAAAAGCGGCCGTAGACAATGTGTAAAATGAAACATGCCTGCATTCCAATGCAACTCTACTTATGGGAACTCACACTGGGTCTTGAAATAGTCCAAAATCCCAGCACTCTAGAAGGCTGAGGCAGGATGATTGCAAATTTGAGCCCAGCCTTGGGACTTTAGCAACTTAGCAAGACCCTATCTCAAAATTAAAAACAAAACAAGGGCTGGAATGTGGCTCAGTGTGAAGGTCCTGGGTACAATCCCCAGCACACACACACACACACACACACACACACACACACCACACACACACACACACAAAGTAGGCACTCTGTCCTTTGGGCAGTAGGGAGCCCATCAAGGTGTTACAGCAGTAAAGTGGAGGGTGGAAAGCCAATTAGGAGGCAGCAAAAACAAAAGAGATGATGAGGGCCTAATGAGGCAGGGGCAGGAGAGTTAAAGGGGAGAGAGAAATTCGGTTCAAAAATAAACTGCACACAACGGGGTCAGCATTATTAGCCATTAGGAAATGTCAACCCAAACCACCTGGAGATATCAGATCCCCCCTCCCCGGGATGGTGATAACGCAAAAGTGGGGAGCAGTGGATGCCCTCATGCACGGCTGGTGAGAGGCTGCCATGTGCAGCTACTTTGGAAAAACCTGGCCATCTCTCAAAAGGAAGCTGCCATGTGACCCAGCAATCCAATTCCCAAGTATAAACCGAGAAAAGTGAGAACATGTGTCCACACCAACACAAATGTTCAGCCCAGCATTACTCAGGATAGCTCAGAAGTGGAAACAGCCCAACTGTCCATCAACTGGAGCACGGGTAAATGAGATGTGGTCTATCCATGCAATGGAATACTACTCATCATCCAAAGGAACAAAGTACTGATACAATGGGTAAACCCTGAAAACATTATGCTAGGGAAAGAAGCTGGTGACAGAAGACCACTTGTATGTGATTCCACTTACATGAAATGTCCAGAGTAGGCAAATCTGTAACAAACAGAAAGATTAGTGGTTGCCTGGGGCTGGGTTGTGGTGGGGGAATGCTGAAGGATCTAGAGTTTCTTTTGGGGGTGGATAAAATATTCTACAATTGGTTGTGGTGATGGCTGCACAATTTATGAACATGTTAAAAACTTTTGTATACCTTCAATGGGTGAAATGTATATGTGAATTACAGCTCAATAAAGTGGGTTAAAGAGATTCCTAATGTAACCCAAGAAGAGTAATTTTCTCTCGACATCTCCCTAAACAAATGATCTGTCAAATGCAATTGAAACTACTCATCATTGGTTGTAAAACACAGGCAGGTTTTTGTAATCTAGAATTTTGCGTTTTGTTTAATTCAGTACACGTGTCTTCATCTTAGGACTGTAGTCCCAATTGCCGCTTAAAAAAAAACTAGAACACGACAATCTGCAAGGAATGACACACACAGCAGAACAGAGCTGGGAAGCCCCAGGTGCACTTTCCCTAGTGCTCACGTCCAGTCAGCTACCGACCTCTTCAGTTCGCTCTCTGTGTGGTAACAGCCTGATGAGAGGGTTCTCGCTGCCTACAGCCCACCCACGTAATCATACAAGTCAGCGGTTTCTAGCATACTCCTAGAACGGCAAGGAGATCGTGGCGCTCTATTTTCATAACACCAAAAAGAAACTCCCCATCCATTAGAAGTCACCCTTCATTTCCTCCTCCCCCTACTGCTGCACAACCACTCATCTACTTTTTTGCTGGCATAAATTTGCCTATTCTGGACATTTCACATAAGTGATGTCATACATGACGTGGTCTTTGTGCCTGGCTTCCTTCATTTAACATACTGTTTTCAAAGTTCACAAATGTGGTAGCATGTATCCTGCTTCATTCCTTTTTATTGGTCAATAATATTTCATTATAATAACTGTGCCACGTTTTATTTCTCCACTCATTAGTTGATGGATATGTGGTCGTTTCTGGTTTGGGGTTATTATGAGGAGAGCCACTGGGACCTAGGATCGGAATGGCTGTATCAGTCACAATTGTGTCAGAAGATCGTACTGATGACTTCAGATATTCAACAGGAATAGTTCTCAGAGTATGTGGACTCCAGTTGTAATGTGATGAATTCCTTTCTGCCCAAAGAACTTGGCCATCGGAGTAGTCACGCCCTTAGATGTGGAAACTGCGTGCAGCTATCATTTCTAACCAGAGATAAATGGCCAGTAACATTAACAACGGGGAACCCTGCCCCACTGTCACCTCCTCAGACCCTTTCATTACATTTCACAATAATTACAGTGTGGTAGTTTCCCTTCCAAGACGAAAGGAGAAAGGGTTACAAGCAACCATGTCTTTCTTTTGTTCTCCTATATGCTCGTCCTTGCTCTGAATTAATGATATGGCAGTTTCAGCAGGCCTGGTCCCATGTTTGGGGGATTCAGGGCATCAGCACTATATTACAAGCGCTAAGAATT